GCAGTGTGTTTTATTAAAGATTGATTCCTGATTTTCCTACAGGTAGATGGTCCGGATAGCGTTTCAAAAGCAATTATCGAAGCAGGGGCTAATCCAGGTACTTGGAATGTGTCTTACGTTCCAACCGAGGTTGGAGTATTCGATATTCGAGTCGTTTCTGCAGGCCAACAACTTCCAGGATCTCCTTGGCATCCAAAAATCATAGATACGCGAAATCTTCGCGTAATTGGTAAGTAATAGTAACAGTTATTATCATTGCAGGATTATTGTCGTTGTTGTTGTTATTATTAATGTTGTTATTGTTACTGTTATTGTTATAAGAAAATATATTAATTTGTAGAAATATTTTCTTTATTTTTCTCTAAGGCGGTTGGCCAGCTGTATGTGATGATGTTGGACGATTAAAATTACATCCATCAAATAAAATTAGTTTCGACACTGCAGAAGCTGGACCTGGCGAACTTACGGGAAAAATAGGGGACCATCCGTTATCATTTGAAATGACTTCAAATAATAGACTAAAACTTATTCAGCCAGAATTAAATAGTGGAGAACATCGTTTGGAGATCTTATATAACGGAACACCATTTCCAGGCGCTCCAAAATTAGCAGTTGTTCAAGATTTAGAGGTATTTAATTATGCAAAAGTTTATAACATTATAACTGTAAAAAATTATGAATACTATGTTTAGCCACCTGTACAAGACACAAGTCGAGTTTTACTAAGGGGAAGAGGATTGACATCAGCAAAGTGTGGAGAAGAAGTCAGTTTCACAATAGATGGCTCCCAAGCTGGCACAGGTACACCAAAAGTACAATTGTTTTCGCCAACTAGCGAACTCAATGTAATGTTACAACATTTAGGTAAATATTTCGTTTCTTTTTTTTCTTTATTTTATTATTTTATAAATGTTTATAAATTATGGATTCATGTACAGGAGATAGTGTTTATCGAGCAAGTTACATACCACTGACTCCTGATCCTCTTTTGATGACTGTCTCTTGGAATGGGAGACAGTTGAAAGGATGTCCTTTACAAATAAATGTAACTAGTGCAGCTGATGCATCTCGGGTCATTTGTTCTGGAGATGGATTGAAACATGGTATAGTCGGTCAGGAAATAAGAAGTTTTATTGATACAAGACGTGCTGGCCCTGGTATGTCTTCAAATCGTATATTTGTTACTTAATAGCATATATCAAATATCTGAATATTTATCAAATATTTATTAGGTGAATTAACGGCACATTGTGTTGGTCCTCATAAAGTTGCTTATTGCGAATTGTATGACCACGGTGATGCAACATTTACATTGAACGTAAAACCTCAAGAAGCTGGACGTCATGCATTAACCATTAAATATGCTGGAGAACATGTTCCTGGCTCTCCTTTTACATTACGCGTTTCCGGTGCTCCAGATGCTTCAAAGGTAATACGGGATTCAAAATGTGAAGATAAACGGTGAAAAATATTTTTAACAACAGGTTCGAGTTTACGGTCCAGGAATAGAACACGGTGTACTAGCAACGTTTCAGTCTCGTTTTATTTGCGATACTCGTGGAGCAGGCGCTGGTCAGTTAACCGTGAGAGTCCGTGGCCCTAAGGGGGCATTTAGAGTAGAAATGCAGAGAGAAACTCAAAAGGATCGTATAATACTGTGCCGATACGATCCAACGGAACCAGGTGACTATAGAGTTGAAGTTCGTTGGGCAGGCGTCCTTGTACCTGGTTCTCCATTTCCTGTTAAAATCGTTGATACACAAGATGAATTATTGATGTTGACACAGGTAAAAGTCAGAATGGCAAAAATATTCGAAATAATAGAAATGTTTTAGAAATGAAATTAACCATTTCTTTTTTTCGTTTGGTTTAGAATGGAGATAATTATTCGACGGGACATCATACTATCGCTTCATGGCGTGGATCACAAGCTATATTATAAGTATATTACACATAATGTTGTTATTATTTTATATAAACTGATAATATATTTTCATAATATATAATGATTTTGTAACTTATCTAAAATGCAGTAAAACATATTTTATTAACTTTTTTATTATAATACATTTTATTATATTTATATATACATACGTAACACGTACGTACACACACGCAGAGAGAGACCGATGTATATGATACATATATGAGAACGAGAGAGAGAAAGAGAATAAAACAAAATCATTTATTACGAAATAATATTTTATGAAAACATACCAACATTTTATGAAAACATTAGTAATATATATCATGAAATAAAAGTCCTCAGTAAAAAACAATTATTTTATTTTATGTACATATATTTATTTATATAATATATTATACGCTATGACTTTTCTTCTTGTCTAATTTACTAAGTTCTCTGAATACGTGTTTCTTCAATTCTTTTTGCCTTTTGAGCTTGCGCGCTTCAACTGCAGCAATCTGGGCTTGATGTGCCTCGATTCTTCGCTTAGTAGCTTCTTTAAGTTGTTTTTGTTTATAAGCATAATTGGTTTTAATCATTTTCATGAGCCTCGCTACATTCGCTTCTTTCGGCTCGCGTACCACAGCTACTCGGCCATTTCTTTGTCTATTAAATGTCGGCATTAATTTCGGTTTATCTCGATACGGAAGTTCTTTCTGCAAGCTTCGAGGAATAGACAAAGGTTTGAACACTTTCACCGTTCTCTCAACAGGTGTATACATGGAATCTTTGTTCGCGGGCATATGTATGTTCTTTTCTCTTTTCAGCTGTCCGGTCGTTTTCATTCCTTGCCATCGACTCTTCTCTTCGGCAGGTAACAACAGCGACGTGACAGGATTGTAAAATCTTGGTACGTCCACCTTGTACCAAGTTCGACAAAAGACAATGTCGCTCAGAAGTATTTTATCTTCGAACGTTGCACGGAAACATCCCTCTGGCTTTGACACAGCTTTCTTTATCTGGCCACGTATACCGGACACGGTTTTTATCTTAGCACCCTCGAATTTAGCAACCTCCAGCGCCGAGTTGAACATGTCTTTTATGAACGCCGTTTTCTTATAAATTTTCATCGGAACGCCGGTGAGCTTCAACTTTTTCATGATCTGTGTGCTCTTGTCCATCTCTACGATGGAGCCTGTTGCCGCTATTCTAAAACCTGGCACTCTGGTGGCGACATCTTGAACTGCCAGCACTCCTGTATTCTGTGGCGTGACAGGGCCCCAAAAATGTGCCATACAGGCAACATGTTCCGGCGTGTACTTTAACATTCGGTTTTTCAAGTTGTCCTCCAACTTTGAGAAAATTGGCAACGTCTGGAATCGGCGCCAACCTACGGAAAGTATCAATGGATCTTTGCTCTTTAGGATCTTTGGGTACCACCGATGTTTCTTTATCCTCGTCTGTACGTATCCTATGTTCTCCTCACCGTGTAACAGTCCCCCGATGATCAACGGATACGTAGGATCAAAATTCGTAACGAGTTCACAAGGTACAGTCTCAATTTCGACACGTACGTACATGCCTGGACGATAACCTTCCAGCTGTACCCTCACGTCATCGTCCATCCCCTCAAATTCCGACTTGTTCAAGTTCGCTTGTTTTTCAACTTCGAGTTTTAGTTCGTCGTAATATGTTTTAGATTCACCGTTGTCATACTCCAAGTCAAACTGCTCCTTTAACTTTCTCTTCTTTTCCAGAAGCTTCTTCCTTTCCTCCGCGTCGTTCGTCGTTGATTCCTTTGGAGTTTCCGCTTCATGTTTCTCCCCGGTTTCCATATCTTCGAAATCTCCGTACAGTTCCTCGTCGTTTACATCGTCTAACTTTAACAGCTCTTCTGCGTCTTCCGACTCTTTCCATTTCCCGGTTACGAAGCGATTTGCCACAAGCAGTTTATTTTCCTCTGTCAACCAATCCCGTTGAGTTTCCGGGAAAAATATGCATTCTTCTTGACTTTGTAACTCTCGTTCGTATATTTTCTGCTTCTGTTGCTCGTGAACGACACGGAAGATACCACCTATCTCGTCATTTTCGTCCTCAGTTTTCTCCTTCTTCTCATCTTCCACCACGCGATTCCTATCCACTCCGTAAACAATTTTCATGAGATTTCTGTCACTTCGTTGACGTGTCTCGAATGCTTGTCTAGCTTGTTCGACCAGGTTCGTCTTCCATTTTAACTCATCTTCAACTTCTTCATCATTCTCGTTCTCATCTTCAACTTCTTCATTATTCTCGATCTCGTCTTTAGCTTTTTTCACATTATCAGTTTCGATATTTTCATCTTCTTCTTCCTCAGAAGTTTCATATCGAAAATCAGTATTCTCCTCTGTATCATCCATTTCTAGACCATCTCGTGTATCCCCATCGCTCAATTCATCGAAACTTTCGTTCTCGCTATTTTCTTCTTCTTTCGTTGCACTTGTAGCTGAATTCAATTGATCGAGCGCTTCTTTGATCTTATTCTTTACCATGATATCCGATTCCTTGCTCAGACAACGATACACATCTGCAGGATTTGATACGTTTGAAATTGTACCTTCTGTCAAATTCAAAGAGTCTTTAGCAGTAACATCGTTATTTTCTAAAGTTGTATTACTTGACGAACTTTTTCTCTTTTTAACATTTCCTGATTCATAGACTTTATTTTTTCTCTTGATGCCCTTTTTTCTGTGCGTCTCTTTGATTTTATTTTCATCTTCTTCGCTTGATTCCACATTCTCAACACTGTCGTCATTATCTGCCTGCAAGCATTCAATTTTTATTTTCATTTCATCTAACTCCTTCATATCATTCTCACTTTCCTCCTCTTGATCGCCATCTAACTGATCATCTTCGACATCTTCCTGATCGCTATCATCGGAAGAATCCTCTACTGACCTGGCAAATACAACCTTTCTTCTAATCCTGCCATTGTCAATTACATTTTCTCCCTTGTAACTGTCGAAATTTTCATCAACATCCTGCGACTTTATGGGAGCAGCATTACTAAATAATTGCAACTCGCTGTGTTGTAACTTTTGATCCAATGTCTCTCGAGTGTCCATTAAAGCACCAACCAAACCCGTGTCTTCTTCTTTGTGAGAATGACTGCCAGCCAATTCGACATAAACAGCATCCTTGTCGTACACTATACCACCAACGCCAGAAAAAGGTGCGTAAATCAATCGTTCTTTTTCTACTAATGCACGTTTCTTTAACTCCTCCGGCAAAGGACACGGATCTGGCAAGAAACTGATATCTTTGATTTTCAGATCACCACAGCCTGGAATATGTATCGATGCCTCTTTGTTTAAGGGAATTCCTCTCACATACCTGGCAATGTAAAGAAGAAATTAATGCTAAAATCTTAACAACAATGTATATAATCTTTTACATACCCATATAAACTTATTGTCCTGTCAATTTTTGGATTTTGTCTAATCAACTCGGCGGATGTTAAATCTTCTATTCTATCAGTTAGAATGTAAGGATGCATGGTACGCCAAGTCAATGGTCTAAACTTCATGACAGATATAAATCTTGCTAAATTTTTTACTTCCGTGCGTAAATATTCTCCGCGAATTAATCCAGATAAGTAAAACAATTTCGCCCCGGCGTAAACTTCTGTCCAAAATCTTTGTTTCAATGCCTTCTTGGTCTTTTTCAGCTGTTTGGCATTTTTAATTAAATCTAGATGAGTCAAAACACCCATGATCCTAGGCATGCCGTGAATTTGACAAATATTTAGAAATTCAAATATTTCCATCTCAAAGCCGAAAGATGCATCTACCAGGAGCAATACTAGATCCGCTACTTTAGCGATGTCTATCATGCTGTTAATATCATTGTTACACTCCATGAAGGTGATTCTTTTCTTTTTTCCAGAAACAACAGTGACAGGGCCAACTATGTTAGTCAATGGTTGTTTCACGTAACTCTTAATTAGACACTGAATGACCAAAGATTTGCCAACTTTTGGAGGGCCGACAATAGCCACTAGAATCGGAGGAGGTTCAAGAGGCGTCCTATCAATCAGTGGTATGTGTTGTTTCTTCGTTTCTATATCTTGTTTCCGTCTAAATCGTCGTTCCGCTTTAATCGCAGAGTTAAACGTGAATGCCTTTGGGTTTTTCTGTTTGTCCGTGAGTTCTTCAACATGGCTCTTCTTTGCTTTCTTCTTTTCTGCCTTACGACCGGCATTACGTTCTCTGTGTGTTTTGTGAGTAATTGCATTCTCTGGCGCACTCGACATTTTCAATCTCTTCACAAAACTTACTAATCGCTAATCATTGCAAATACGTTATAAGATCAAGGTTATGTTAGCGTTGAGGTTATGTTAGATTGATAGCATGCCTTATGCACGTATTTCTGCGTACACGTACAGTACAACGTCTGAAAATAATTCAATGAATTATTGTAAGTTACAACATTTATGACATTATAACATAAATAGTAACAAGTATTATAATTTGCTAATACTTATCACGTGTTACGTGAGAAAACAGTTACCTTCTCCACTTGTATGAATAGAAGCATTGACTTAGTCAATGATGGAAGTACAGTGTATTATATATTTGTATTTGTATTTGTATAAATATATTTGTATTTTCAAGTTAGAAATTTTTATTAATTATTAATAATGAATTTTTTGGAATAGTAATCAGAAAGACTTACGATTAACAAATAACAATTACTATTGTATCTTTTGGTTAGTATAGACACAGACCTACTCCGTACACTTACTTAGCTATTATACTGTACTATACTGTACCATATTTACGATATTATCACGTGGTGTGCACAATTCGTACCAGTATAGGTTAGTATCTTATTTTCACCGCTAGATGGTTACAGCGTAACCATTTCGATTACACATGCATAATCTTAAATTCGTTTGCATTGTTTTTCTAAAGAAAAGAATGTTCCGAAATTTTTTCATGGATGAAACAGTACATTGATCGAAAAGCTTTCGAGTAAAAGTGACTAGAGGGAGGAGAGATTCAACAGATTCGAACAAACGTGTGTGTCACCGATGCTGTCGTTATTCCCTTGGGGTCAAGCGGCACTAGACTTCGATTGAAAAGTCATCGATCAAAGGTATCTTAATTCGCACAATAGCCGAATGATATTGTAAAATTTGGCCGCGTGATCGATCGACTATAGAACGTGATGGCGATGAGCTGGTTAATCGAACGCGATGTCGTCCCATATTTATGAAAGGAGAAACGAATGGAACAAAGTTTCGGAGACAGAGGCGCGATGACGTATCGCGAAAGAACACCATGGGTTCTCCGTGACTGTTCCAGTCCGTCGAGTCGGCTCGTGACAGCTGTCACCTTTGAAAATCACGGGTAAAAAAATTGTTTAATATATGAGCACGGATCCACGACGGTTTTACACTTGTCCCCGATTGAGACGCCACGAACCGCGGCGAATCGCCACGACGATTGGGGTGACTTTCAAATAGAGGCATAATTTTAGGGTGTGCGCATTCCCATTCGACTTTGTAAATGTACATATTCGTCTGAGTCCTGTTTTCTCTGTTTCTTTTCTATCACCCCCACTCTCGAGAATATAACTCTGTAACTTTCCGTTTGTAGGTCATCGTTTTCAACGATGTTTGGATTCAAGTTCAATGCATTAAAGAAACCAACTTTAATTTTCCGTTTTTCTCTTCCATGTTTAACCTCTTGCGCTGGCAACTGGTTCGCGGACCATAACGAGTGACCAAATCGTATACAATACTACTAAGAAGTATTAATACTAAGATTACTATTATTAGATTATAGATAAGATTACTATATTGCTAAGAATACTATTATTAATACTAAGAAGTAATAAATTTATTATTTGTTTTGCCTAGGTTATATTTAAATATACTTATAAAATTGAGGAAACATTGCAGTTTTGGGACGTGCGTGGCAATTGTCCAGCGCAAGATGCACTCGTATTTCGAGTTGGACAGCAGTTAATCGAGGTAGTTAATTGGCGAAGGGCAAGCTAGAATGCGGCACAGATGGCATGGGACGTGAAACATTCTATGACTCGTCGGATTTCGCAGACGTCATTGTCAATTAGAAACGTGAAAAATCGTTTGCTGGGAAGAACGCAAAGTTTGAATTGTGCTCGTTGCAAAAAAAAAAAAAAAAAAAAAAAAAAA